GTTAAATAAATCGAAACTTAAAAAACAAAGTAAGAAATAAAATTAAATCAAAACTTAAATTAGATTGGTTCTATACCGGAGGGTCCCTTAAAGCATCTCAAATAATCGGGTTGGCTGACTAGTTGTCGACCATCTCGGTCTACTTGATCGAAGGGCATACTCGACTATCAACAGTTACAACCTACATACTAAAACAAGATTAATTTTCCTAATGTACCAATTTAACCCCCTAATTTTCTAGGGCTCAATTGCGAATAGTACAAATATAACTTCTGTGAGGTATGCAAACCAGCTCAATTACCACATTTAATACGGGGTCCTTTATTGACTTAAGCGTCGGAATGTCTTTTACAGACACCTCCACCTCAGACTACGTAGAGCAGAACGTGAAGACCTCGATCAAAAATTAAGATCGTGATAATTAAGTGATTAAAAATGTGTGTTTCCTAATACAGGAATATGTTCAATTTAGATTACTAAAAAATAATTAAAATTTGAATTAAACTAATCCAATTAATTATAATCGGATAAAATTTAATTTTATTCTAAAGCTGAACAAACCCTGCATGTAAATACCCCTAGTTTCTCAATTTTATTTTAATAAACAGTAATAATTCACACTGTCATAATAAATCATAGCTAGAGTTGGTGAACTTAATATAAAAAGGCAAAACTTCCTTTCACTTTAAACTTTTAGCATTAATAAAATAGTCGTCTCCCTCTCCTGCTCATGTGCTGTTGTGAATCCCTATATATATAATTTTACTAAAATCAATGACATTCCTATATAGTATACTTTATGTCAAGAGGAACCGATCATGATATTTCTCTGTCTGGTAGTTGAGTCAAAACCCGATTGTACTCGTCAAATTCTGTATTTCGAAAGAAACAATCGTTTAAAAGACGTGCAAACTTATAAACAAGGAAAAAAATGGGTGGACAGCCTTTAATTAGTTTGTAGATACTGATCATAATTAAGAGATGAAAGGAGAAATGAACAAGTAATTGATATGATTAAAGATGTGAGATAAAAAGAAAGAAACAAATTGAAATTGTTAATTAGGTATTTATAGTGTTAGAATGCTCCAAAATTAGGTTTCTAATTAAAAAAACGTTTTGTCTAAACTTCCAACAATTACACGAGAAAATCTTCAAGTATTACGTACAGTACGTTCTACACCCGTGCTTTCAGAATTACGTTCCTAAACCTTGTGAACTCAGTTTGTGAAGCACTAATGTCCACTTCTTCTCTTAATTCAACTAAGTATGAATTCTTACTCTTTCACACATAAACTCTCCAGCTGATTCATAATTTACCTCATTCAATTCAATTGAAAACTATAGAATTCAATAACAAATACGTAAACACAGTTGAATCAAATCTTTAAATTAAAGGAAGTCATGCATGAGAATACTCAATCAAATATATCTAAACAATACAATTAAACAATATACTTATTTCGCAGAGATCATAGATTCATAATCCCTCCAAAACTCATATAATTCAAGTCTAAAAGAAATTTAGGAATTACTTCGTTGTCCGGTGTTTCAATTCATAAATATGGTGAAATAAAATTCACTTCCCTTATCTCAACAATATGATCCCTGTTACGAGGGGTGTGATTCACTGCTCACTACTCCAGGTTTTGCTCCTCTACTTCATCCAATAACAACTCTAATGCATGTTTTCTCAAGCATTAAAAAGGAACCCCAAAAAATACTCTCCACTTTTTCAACTCTTAGATTCTGATATGTAAGCGATAAGTTGGACTTTTAAAGCCTAAGACCATTAGTCATTTAACTTCAAACTAACATAACCTTCTCAGTCCACTTTTTTTTTTATAAATAATTAATTTAAGTTAATAAAACAAACCATTTATATATTGTTATATTATTATTATTTTCAAAAAAACAAGATTTTACATAAAGCACTTTGAGGATTGTTAGAGGGAAAATTATAAAGGGTTAGATTCGAATTGAGCACGTTGCTATATAGAGTGTACAATGGAAAATCCTCTAACCAAATGCTTAACTATAGGAACTTTTCACGAAATTTGTAGCTAATATGAGTTTAGTTCAGTCTTTTGATGTTTTGAGGTAGTAGAGGTTGAGATTACACATTTTATTTTATTATTGTATTTTATATGGATGACATCCTTTTGTCATCATGTCTCTTTTGATGTTAATATGATGTTTAGGCCCTTTTACAATTTTACGATGGGATTACATATTGATCTTATTTAATCATGTTTTTCTTTATTATGAAATGTGAGTTTATTGAAATATATGGTGTTTGTTCTTTCTGAATTTAACTTTCTATATTATTAATAGTTCTTTAATTATTCCTTTGAACATGATTGGTATTTTGTTATAATGCTTTTTGTCTTCAATAATTAAACTAATGTTATCCACTAGATTTTTGAATAATTTATGGATTAAAATTACATAGTTATTGAATTAAATTCTAAATATCATTTATATCAATTATAAAATAAAATTTAAGATATTTTAATTTATTGATATTAACTTAATGAGATTATGAATGATGTAAGTGAATTTGTTTTTTTTATCAACAAATTAATTGTATTACATTAGTATAAGAGGTATCAAAACCTAAATACATATTATGACAGAGTCGTCAAAATAACTTATGACTACAATGAATTACCATGTATTTATATATCTATCAATTGAAATAAAATGTAAGTGAATTTGTGATGAGATGGATAACCTTCATTTGAACAACCAACTTATATTTAGTGAATTTGATTTATGACACAAGAAGAAAACTACTTAAAAAAAAGAAAAATTTTCATAAACTGCTTTATTAATGTCATGACTATTTTTTGTCTAAAAATTTGACTAATCATTTTAGTGGGGTCTCTTTTCTTCATTAAGTTTTTTTTTTTCTATTTATAAAACATGAATTTAAAACCTTTTAAAGCAATCAAATTCAGAATCACTTAAATCATTGATGTGTTGGTATATGTGATCCTTTAGAAGTAACATGCACGAATTTCATCCCCACTTTAAATACAAGTTTTTCTAATTCTTTCTTAATAATAATTATTATTATATATATTATGAGCATATGCCATCATTGTGCAGCAATTTATCCATCATGCACTCTTTGTTTGCATGAAACCAATTTCATTGCTTGCTTGGCCAATAGCCACCAGATTTTGTTGCCTCCATTCAAATTACTTGCGACTCTTCTACACTTAATCGGTTAAATGAGTTTTTCAGCAACATATTCAAATTATTGAAGTGAATGACTGTGATAACACATTACTTTCAAATTCAATGACAAAGTAGCGCATTAATCAGTGGGTGTACAGAATCACTGAATCAGTGATGGGTCCTGGAAAATTAAAAAAAAAAAATGAAAATGAACAATTTACTCGAAACTTTGAGTGGCGTCAGGATCAGGAGCACAAGCTTTTTATTTCCCTCATCCATCGCTATCCTCACTTGGAAATTATAGTATCCCATTCATTTTATCTGTGCATATGTCGCACATATTGGATAGTTAGGCAGTTATTTTGAGTGACGCTAACGGAATACAGCAAACCCTTTATATATATGCCACCTCTAACCTAAAAGTCTAAAGAAAAAGTTTCCCATTTACAACTTACATGACAACACCTTATACTTCTGTTTATTATTTTATTAAAAACATATATGAAAACATGTTTATGTCTTGCATTTTCACTAGTTATATATGTTCTTGACATATAAGTGTTGGATTTCAAGTATAAAATAAGTCTTATATTGATTAAAATTAAATATATTAAATAATATATAAATAAAAAATTTATTTATCTAATGTCTTAATATTTTAAGTTATGATATAATATCAAATTCATTTGGATGATTTATTAGTTACTTACTCAGTCTAATAATTAGTTTGACCAAGTAATGTAAAACTCTCCAACAATAAGAAGCCACCATTAACTACTTTTCAAGAATTGTCGCATATATTCATTTTTTTCATTTACATCAGCCATCAACTTTACAATTATAAATCGGCAATTGAAATTAATTACTATGACCATTAAAATTTTTTCTTACATTTAAATTAATTATGTGCAAAACTTTTTGTGATCCTTTTTAATAATTTAAAGATTTACATATGTCCTTTAAATTAAACTGTCTGTCTTTAACATTAATTTTCCAAGAATTATATGCAGCAATCACTAATCCGCTACTTCGCTTAGTGAAATTTTGATATATCTAACAAGCAAAACAGATTGTATATATGTAGTGATAATTTTACGATAAGCAACAATATTCTAGTTCCAGTTCTGGAGAAAAGTAAAGTCGTTAAAGTATGGATATTGTATTTTTTTATAATCAAGGATATATTTTTATAAAGTATAAGAAATACTTTAACAGCGTATACACATCAGTTTCAGTCGACATAACTAACAAAACTGTTTTATATACAGTAGTGGAGCTAAAAATATGGATCCTGCTAATAAGATCAGTAATAGTCAAACAACATTTAATACACACATTTATTATTGGTATACTCAACCAGACAACATTTGGCATAAAATATAAGACCAGAAAATAAATACTAGCAACGTATTCCGAAACACATTCTTTTAAATACTACATTGATATTTTTTTTATTAGTTAAAATTCTAATGAATTTTAACTATAGCCGTAATCTACTTACCGCGCAGCCAACGTTGTTGCTGGTTTTGTGAACAACAGCCGCGGTAAATGTACCCTATATACTTCCCTAGTCTTTCCAAACACAACTTTATGGTTCTCTAATTCTTTGAAACTTCCCACACACTTGCGTCCTTTCCCTGTTGCCGAAGCAAAGTTGTTTCTATACCCATTACTTGGAAACTAATTAAAGTCACATTTTCAAGTTCACAGTTTTACCCCTTTGTCCTATTTGTTTGGACTCTCCACATGTTTCCCACATTTTTTTGCCTATATATAATGCACTCTCACTTCGTTTAGTTTTCCAACCCACTCTCCTCCTCCAAAACCCAAACTCTTGTTTCTCTTTCGGTGTGCATGTTTGGTGCCACACTCCCAAATTCAATAGCTCCTTCTCTAGCCATGCCTGAGGCTCCAAAGCACTTGCACCTTGATGATGATCATGATAGTAACACTACTAGCATCATGATCATGGACAACAATAAGAGAGCACTAGAATACATTGAAGAGGTTACCATCAAGGCTGATGAAATTCAAGAGAAGGTGCTTTCGGAGATCCTTTCTCGTAGTGCACACGCTGAGTACCTCCAACGCCATGACCTAGATGGGTGCACAGACAGAAGCACTTTCAAAAAGCGTATCCCCGTCGTCACTTACGAGGATCTAAAGCCAGATATTGATCGTATAGCCAACGGTGATACCTCCCCAATTTTATGTTGCAAACCCATATCAGAGTTTCTCACTAGGTAAATATCTCTCCATGTATGAACTTAAATAATCACTATAAAAAATATTTATAATATATGTATGAATTCTATTTGACATATATTTATATAATTTTAATATTAATTTTAAATAAAATTTAATAATATATTTTATATATCATTTTATTTTATATTTATATTTTTTAATAATATATCAACATATATTTTATCTAAACAAAAATAACTTTTAACTATAATCATTATTTGTCATCATGAGAAATTTTATTTGTAGTGAATTACTTTGTCATCTGATTTCACTAGTTCTTCCATTACCATATTGCTCCGTCAAATAAGAACATTGGTAGGTCTTCCGAGGGTAAAAGACTTGAATATTAAATTCAATCGGATAAGGATGTAATAAATTGGATCTTGATGGCTTATAAAGATTTAATAGTTATAAGGTACTCCTATATCTGTTGCATCCATAAATCTACTATATCAATGTGGTAATGTTTGGTCGGCTGAGTAATAATTGGCGATAACGGTATAAGCTCCTTGAATATCAATTCTAGGAGAAAGAAGTAAACAGTTAAAATAGATATCAATTAAATATATTCTTAGCCCCTTAAATTTGAAATATATATTATTTTAATCTTTTAAATTTAAAATTTGTATTTTTAATTTATATAATTTTAAAAAAATATTGTTTTGATCCTTAGATTTAAAAAATTATTATTTTAATCTCTCTTAATTTATCATTATCAATTATTATATTAGTAACTGGAATAATATTTTTTACAATTATATAAATTTTATTTGAGAAGTGAAAATAATGATTTTGATAATTTTATTGATTAAAAACATAAATTTTAAATTTGAAGAATTAAAAACACATATACCCTAAATTTAAAGAATTAAAAATATAATTAGACCAATAGATATTTATTACGGCCATTATTTATTTTAAATGACTACCGGCATAACAAAAAGAAAGATAAAATAAAATATTTGTAGTGTATATATATATTTTTGTTTGTTATTTAATCCTAAATCACAATATAAGGTAACACTTTGATAATAATAATTTAAAAGTTATACAAAATTGGTTTTTAATTTATTGATAATGTATAAGAATTTATACTTGTATATCTATTAAGCTCACAAAAGAATAGAAATGTTAACTGACATTTTCTTTAATACATTTTTCTTAATATATTGATCTCTTACTAATATTATCTTTATTATTAGTTAAAAATTATAAATTTTAGTAGATATTATCATTAAATCAAGACAGAGAGACACATTAAATGGATACAAGATTTAAAAAATTAATAATTTTTAATGAATTTTAATCAATAATAAAAAGAGTGTTAGTAAAAATATATCTAACTATATATATTAGAGTCAATTTAATAGTAAAAAATTAAAAATGATATACTTAGGCTCTTAGGTTTAAACATTATTAATTATTATTATTATTATTATTATTATTATTATTATTATAATTCCTACTGTTATATATATCTTAGCAATGATTTTTTGAACATTTAATTTTTTTTATCAATCTATCAACAACTCTCATTTGGTTCTATCTATATTTTTGTCCTTCTCTCTTTAGGTGTATAGTAGCATTTTAGGTGTGCAAGTATATTTTTCTTATATTTTACAAATCATTTGTGTAATCACAATTAATCTATTATACATATATTGCATATCAATAAAAGTATATTTTTCCGGTGATCCAACAATAAGTAAAGTTTAAAATAATTTTTCTCTTTAAGAGAAAAAGATATATGTTAAGATTTTTCTGATATATGAAACCTTTTGTTTACAAACGTAGTGTTTTTACTTTATAAAAATTAATAACCAACAATTTTTTTTATTGATGTACTTGAACTCTTGAAGCTTAAGCTATGTATTTCTTTACCAATAAATTTCTTTCGTAGTAAGATCTCTCACACTATTAGTGTAATCATATATTAAAGTAAACATTATGAGTTCAAGTTTTACAAAACAACTCTATACTAGCTAGCAACGGCAAATCTAGCTAATGCCTACAAAAGCTTTCATTTTTGTTGTTGCTGGTAATGATATATTTTGAAATGAAGTGTAACAGAAATTTCTGATATACATATATTTATTGAATGATTTAGCTCTGGAACTTCCGGTGGGGAGAGAAAACTGATGCCAAGCATCGAAGAGGAGCTAGAAAGGAGGTCATTACTCTATAGCCTCTTGATGCCGGTGATGGATCAGTTTGTTCCCGGTTTGGACAAAGGCAAAGGCATGTACTTTCTCTTCACAAAATCCGAAGCCAAAACCCCTGGTGGACTCCTTGCTCGTCCAGTTTTAACCAGCTACTACAAAAGCCCTCACTTCAAGCACCGCAAACACGACCCTTACGCAAACTACACCAGCCCCAACGAAACCATTCTCTGCCACGACTCCTTCCAAAGCATGTACTCTCAGTTGCTCTGTGGCCTCTGCCAAAGCGAACAAGTTCTCCGCGTTGGCGCTGTCTTCGCCTCCGGCTTCATTCGCGCCCTCAAGTTCCTCGAACACCACTTTCTTTCTCTCTGCAACGACATAAGAAATGGTACCCTAGACAACAGGATCACTGACCCTTTTGTGAGAGAGGCTGTCATGAGAATTCTCAAACCTAATCCCACGCTCGCGGATTTCGTTGAAGGGGAGTGCGTGAAGGGGTCGTGGATGGGGATGATTACTAGGCTTTGGCCTAATACTAAGTATGTTGATGTTATTGTTACGGGCACCATGTCTCAGTATATTCCTGTGTTGGATTATTATAGTAATGGGCTCCCTATTGTGTGCACCATGTATGCTTCTTCTGAGTGCTACTTTGGCTTGAATTTGAATCCGTTGTGTGACCCTAGTGAGGTTTCCTACACCCTCATTCCTACCATGGCCTACTTTGAGTTCTTGCCCCTCCACGAGATCGATGGACACAGTACTAATTCCATTTCTCACGTGGAGCAAGAACGTTTGGTAGATCTTGCAGATGTGAAGCTGGGTCAGGAGTATGAGCTTGTGGTCACCACTTATGCAGGTAGTTAAACAGCTTAATATGTTGGATCTTTTAATCTTTATTTAAACTTTATTTTTAATTTACATTTAACAAAACTTACATCATTACAAGAATATTGGTTACAGTATAAATATTGTCACTAAAATTAAAAAATTCATTAATAAATATCTATTTTAAATTGATAGATGATTTATTTGCCTATTATGTAAGTACATAACAACATCTTTTTATTTTTACTTACAATAAATGACTAGTACAAATATTTGAATTTTACATGCATTAAATATTTATAGATAAATAGAAGTAATTTTGACTTTATCCACAATCATTTTCCTTGTGTACGTTTTAATTTGATCATATTTTTGTTGAATTTTTAATTTTAGCTAGATATACATATTTTAGTTACATTTTAAGAATTTAAAATGAATAAAAATGCAAATAAGAACATTTTTTTTATTAAAAAAATGCCATATTGTTAAAAAATATAAATATATTTATGTTTAAAAAATGTTACCACCACATTTTTTTAACGTAAAATTTGATAAGTCCTGCATATATATATTTTAGGTAATGAACTTCATTTGAGATTTTATAGTTTCTAAAATTAAAAATAAGTTGAGCTAACTCATAAGAAGAATATTTGACTGACTAATCAAACTTTTTTGAAAAGGCTAAATCAAACAATAAAAAAAGAATCTATAAAGTAATAGATTAATTTTGGATCTTGAATTTTTAAATAGACTAAATAGAGAAAAATGATATTTTCCTTTCAAGTTCAAAAAGTTAATTAATGTGCAGGACTTTATAGGTACTGCGTTGGTGACATACTCCGCGTAGCCGGATTCAAGAACAAGGCTCCACAATTCAACTTCGTGTGCCGAAAGAACGTGGTTCTCAGCATTGACTCTGACAAAACCGACGAAGTTGAGCTACAAAACGCTGTCAAAACTGGATCTCACCATCTTGCTCGATTCGGTGCATCGCTTACCGAATACACAAGCTGCACCGACACCTCCACCATCCCAGGCCACTACGTTCTCTACTGGGAAATCACCACCAATTCCCAAACCCCACTTCCCTCTTCCGTCTTCGCTGATTGTTGCTTTTCAATTGAGGAATCACTAAACAGCGTTTATCGCCAAGGAAGGGTATCAGACTCCATTGGACCCTTGGAGATCAAGCTCGTTGAGAATGGCACCTTTGACAAGCTCATGGACTTTGCTCTCACCCATGGTGCCTCCATAAACCAATACAAGACACCTCGTTGTGTCAAATATCCACCCATTTTGGAACTTCTAAACTCTAAAGTTGTTTCCAGTTATTTTAGCCCCAAGTGCCCCAATTGGCTTCCTGGTCACAAAAATTGGTGCACTACTCTTCATTCAAATTAGTCCATGTAGCTTCCCAATGAATTTGTTTCGATTGTGAGATTAGCTCGCAAAATTAAACCCACTCCAGTGTAGTATTCATGTTTTAGTAATAACATATTTTCCATGGTATAAAATAAATTAATTTGTATATATATGGCTACTTACTCTGATCCATGGTTTTAAATTGCGGTTGCGGTCGCGGTTGCGGTCGCGGTTGCAGTTACTGCGGTTGCGAGTATTGCGGGTATTGCGATGCGGATTGCGGCTGTTGCGGTGTGAGATTATTAATTATTTTCACTAAATATAAAAAATTTATAATTATCAATATATATTTTATTTTTAAGGATTTATACATTTTAATTCCTTTTTTTTTTAAATATTCTATTATGTTAATGAATAATTTAATTTATTTTAAAATTATAGTATCAATTTATCGTATTGTGGATGTATTGCGGTACATTGCAGATGTGTTGCGGACGCAACACCGTTACATTGCGGAAAAATGTGTGATTTCCAGTATCATCGCAATTGCGGTCCGATGCCGTTGCGGACAAGGCCGCAACAGCAATATTGCGGCCGCAACATGTTGCGGTCCGCAATTTAAAACCATGTCTGATCCCTCTACGTGTCGAGGGCGAAATTTAACCTTCAAACCGAAGCAAAACGTATACTAAATAGACCTCCTAATCAACTTTTAGGATAATCGCCTCATAATGCAGTATCTTATAGTATCATTTGGATATCATAATAACTATTCATTTGCAAAATTGGAATGAATTGTTCAGGTGTGTATCAGTAAAATTTGAGTTGAAATCTTTCACTTCTTATAAATGTGGAGGACTCAGTTCAACGTTATTGGGCCCTAATAATGGTAGATGCAGATGAACCAAGAAATTGGATAGAATTATTAGCATATGCCGTTTTCATTAAATTTGAACACTTCTCCTTAAAGGCTTAAACTAAACCGCACATGTACCAAATAAATTTTGCCACTTCAGGAGGAGTTTGCCTCTTCCGGCATTTATTTCTGCTGGTAAATGGCCGGACAACCTAAAAATCAATGTTGAGAAACTTTTTAGGATTCTTTTTTCAATATTTATGACTTTTTATTTTATAAAAAATAAAATAAATATTTTTTATTGATGACCTTAAAGTTTTAACTTTGTTGACCGTACACTCTCTTGTTGGACCTTTGGCCCCTAATTCGTAAAATGTACTGCACTAATCTCATATTATATAAAGTGAATTTTGAGAGTTTCACTTTTATTTTGAATATATATATATATTGATTTTTTATAAACATATATGATGTTTTATTTTATAAAAATTAATAACAAACTATTTTGTTAATAGTGGATTTAAAACTTGAGATTTAATAATCTTATTCTTGCACCACATATTCTTTTAATACAATTTTCAATATATTTTCACTATTAGTTAAAATGTATTAAAAACTATAAAAGATTATAAGAAAATTGATTCTCAATCGATTTCAATTAACAAGAAGGAGAGCACAAGTTGTCAGCATTTCTCTCATATATCCCATTAGCGTTTCAAAGTTCAAACCATCTTTTTCGAAGATAGTTTAATACATAAACAAAAACTTACTAGTCAATGGCAACAGAGGAAATTTAGCAGGACAAGAAACAGAGGAAGGTAGAGATTATCAGAAGAAACGTGTTCTGTATTGCATCGAAATATGAAACGAAAAATGTACAAAATCAAAATCGCTACAGATTTTCCTGAGAAAAATTATCATAATGTAACCTCAGCCATCTTGAAAGCTCTAGAAATCCCATGAACCACGAAATTCTGGGAAGCCAACATATCAGGAGCCACAATCTCCACACCACTAACCACCATCCCTGGCACGAAATCCAGAACCCCGTCAACTTCAAGGCTATCATCAGGCACGAGCGTCTTCAACAGAGTCCTCACCGGCATAGAAGTGAGTTCTTGGTAGCTAAACCTCCGAGGCAGAATATGAAGCCTCACAGCTCTATCAAGAAAACTCGAAGGGTACCCAAGTAGGGCCAAATCCGGAGGAGCAAACACCGTCACAGAACCCAAGCCCTTATACTCTTTCTTTATCCCATCAAGAACCGAATGCAAAGCCAGGGAAAACGAAGCGTACCCTTTCGCACTCAGCGAGCGAACCACCTTGCTCCACTCAACCCCGTTAACGGCGTCACCGTTGGAACGGCAAGTGGGGGAGGGAATAACGGAGTCGAAACCGCGTTGAAGAAGGTCTTGCGGGTGCAGAGGGTAAAACGGCGCGAGAACGCCGTGGATGGCGAGTTTGTCAGCGAGGAATATGTTAGGGTTTGAGATGGGAACGTGGTTGATCTCGAGGGTGTTTGTTGCGCGGTCGAGTTTGGTGAGGGAGACGTTTTTGTTGCGGAGGAGGGTGGGGAGGCACGTGCCGAGTGGCACGTGGAGGAGGTCGTCGAAGGAGTGGGGTTTGGAGGTGGTGGTGGTGTGGTAGAGGAGGAGGGTTTTGAGGAACCAGAGGGGGTGTGAGGTGTTTTTGATGGCGGAGTCTTTGATGGCGAAGATGGTGGAGTTTTGAGGAGGTTTGAAGAAGGAGGGAGAGTGGTGGAGGAGATCTGCCATGACTATGAAGCCTGATCTTCGTAGAGCGTTGGAGGCGTTGATTGAGAGGTCATGGGGTATGGGTGTGGCTTCTTGGGGTGAGTTCTTGCTTGAACTCGAACGCACTGCGGAGGATATGGCTATGACTCCTAGGGCTATCGAGGCTGCGAAGTAGAGTGGGAACCAACACCATCGGGAATAAGCCATGATGAAGAAGACAAGAACGTCTCATGCATGCAGCATGCATGAACCAGAAGAAGAAAGAATCTAGTGCTTCTTTTGGAGGGAGAATGTGGTGTTTCTGATACTGTGATTCCTTTGGGCCTTTATAGCAAGACCTTTATGGGCCAGAATATAATGTTACTGCTTTTCACACCCAGTTTTATTTATTGGTTTGGCAAGATTTAGATACACAATTACACCTTACAAGTGTTAAGCTGTTTATTTTCTCTCTTAAAATTAGTTTTTTAATGTAAAATTTCGTTATATGAATGATTAAAGTGAAACTTCAATTCTTATTAAAGAGCAAGACCAAGAATATTTAAAGAACTGAATTAAGTTTATTCCTTTACTTATACACTCTTGTGTTAGTGTTATCAAGTGTATTTTAGTTGGTTAAATAATTGCGTGAGTTGTTCTAAACCCTTAGGAAATTAAGTTTCATGGATAAAAAATAGAGTTAATCACCTATATACTGTCAGTGTAAAATTTTTTTATACTAATAACCAATTATATCTTTTAATTGTGATATGTTACTGTTAAAAGTAAATGTGTTTACAATAACATGACACAATTAAAATATATAATTAGTTGTCAGTATAAAAAAAAATTTATACTGGTAGTGTATAAGTGATTAATTCTAAAAAATACCATGAGAGTGTATTTTTAAAAAAATATTATTTTAGAAATTAAATTCAGAAAGCGTGTTCAGAAACTAGGCCTTGTTTATTCTGAAACAGTGTATAATGTTTTCGTTTTTTATTTTTGTTTTCACTATTAATTGCACAATTATTACCTTATTTCTAACTTATTTTCTGTTTGAAAATATTTGTAAAATAAAAAATAAAGGGAAAATAAGGTGATAATATTATATTTAAAAATAAATATGCAAAATATAAAAAATAATTATTTTCTTGAACTGACCCTTGATTTTGTATTAAAAAAAAGAAGAAAGAAACTGACCCTTTAATTTCCAGAAGAATAGGTGAGAGTGACAATGACAACGTTTAAAAAGCAGGCTAACTTCCTTCTCTCGGGAAGTGTGGAAGCCCATTTAATTTTGCCGTTTCAATTTCATACACCCAAAGCCCAAGGTTAGGGAGGATAAGTTGGAAAATAATTAAATCTTACAAGTTGTTTTTTTTTTTACCTTTAATTATTGTACGGGTAGGGAGGTCGGCCACCACCCTGTCGGCCATTGAATGGCAGAACCAGGCAGCCGAATGCCAATCGGCCACCTTGATCGGCCTATCGTCACTTATTACCTTTAATCAAGTAATTAGGGGTTAATTAGTTGATTAGGGTGTATTACCTAATACGGTAAGTATGCTGCGAGTCCCATGGAGTCCGGGGCCCATAAATGACAGTATAAATAGCTCAGGACAAAAGGTAGCGTCACTGTTCATTAATTATCCTAGAGATTCGAGCTTGTCCTGACTTGAGCGTTGGAGTGCCTTTTGCAGGTACCAACCCCCTCTTCAGCGTATCGGATTACTGGGTCGGGAGTCTCGTTCGGCCTTCGGACTACTAGAAGACTTAGTGTGCCCTTCAGACAGGTACATTTGGCGCCCACCGTGGGGCCGAACCGAGACGATCTTAGAAGATTAATCGAGCAAAACAATGGCGATAACAAGGAGGACGAACACGGTAGATCAGCAACACGAAGAAGAACATGTCGAGGTGGTGGATGAAACCAACCTTTCTGAAACCGTCCGTCTATTGAAACAAGAGATGGAGGCTATGAAACAACAGCGAGAAAAAGATGCTAGGGAGCTTTCGGCCTTGAAAGCTGAGAATGAGGCACTAAGGAATCAAGACACCTCATGGAAACCTACTCAGGTCACCAATACGCAAACTCAAGGGTCGCACCAGTCCCATACGATCCATACATCGGTCCCTCGTGCCTCGGCAGTAGCACCTGAAAAGCACCCTTCGGCCTTACCCACTGTCGGTCGGCCCGCAGATTTGACAACTATCGGCTCACACCGACACCCTTTCACCCCCTCCATAATGCAGCTCTCTCTTTTGGACAATTGGAAATCTTTACCCATTGATAAGTATGATGGTACCACTGATCCTGATGAACATCTTGATGTTTTTCTTACGCAGGTAACCCTGAGTACTACGGATGATGCTGCATTGTGTCGCATTTTCCCCACATCCCTCAAGGGTAGGGCGTTGAGCTGGTTCACTCGGCTACCCCCTAACTCGATCGACTCATTCAATACTCTGTCGTCTCAATTCACAGTTCAGTTTGCAACAAGCCGTCCTCATAGCTTGACATCTTTGTCGTTGGTTAGCCTTCGGCAAGATAAGAAAGAATCGCTTCGAACTTTCATGGATCGGTTCAACAAGGCAGCCTTGGAAATCCGAGATCTTAACCCGGCGGTAGCACTTCATCACCTGACGACGGCTTTAAAACCAGGGCCATTCGTCAATAGCCTATGCAAGAAGCCTCCTTCAGATATGAATGATTTGCGCAGGAGAGCGGATAAATATATGCAAATGGAGGACTTGGCCGAATTTCGAAATCAGGCCCGGGCTGACCAGTCGGCCAAGCCCGAGAAGCCAATCGAACAGACATACAGGGGGCGAGGCAAAGAAATAGCTCTTCGGTACCGACCCGTGCGAGGTCCCAAATACTCCAATTACACCCCTCTTAATGCAAGCCGGGCCGCGATACTGGAGCAAGCTTTGGCAACAGAAGTGTTGGCGGTTCCAAAGAGATCTTCGACTCCGCCACGCGCCGATACTAACAAAACCTGCAGGTATCACAGAAATCGCGGACACTCAACTGAAGAGTGTGCCGCCTTAAAAGAAAATTGAAGATTTGGTCAAGCAAGGCAAGTTGCACAATTTTGTGGATCGACCAGCTTCATATCGTCCCCGCTCCTCGTCCCAGTATCGACACAATGATCGGCATGCGCAGGATCGGTCTGATAGACCTCGGCGCGAGCGAAGTAGGTCGCAAGAAAAGAAAGATGATTCGGCACCTTCACGTCGGAGGGTCATAAACACAATCGCAGGTGGATTTGCGGGTGGCGGCTCGACATCTTCTGCCCGAAAGAGACACCTTAGAGCTATTCGTTCGGTCAATAATGTGGATAGGCAACCTCCCCGACGATTACCAACAATAACTTTCACTGATGCTGATTTTCAAGGCATCGATCCTGAGCAAGATGATCCAATGGTGATTAGCGTGGAAATTCACAACTGTATAGTAAAGAAAACGCTGGTGGATCAAGGCAGTTCGGCAGATATTTTGTATTGGAATACCTTTAAACAGTTGGGTATTTCTGAAAGAGAATTGGTCCCATATGACGATCCTTTGGTCGGTTTTGCAGGGGAGAGGGTGAACACCAAAGGGTATATTAAGCTTTTCACTCGTTTTTGTTTTGACGAACAGGAAAGCAGGGAGATTCAGATAAATTACATCGTGGTAGACGCTCATACATCTTACAACATTCTCTTGGGACGACCATCGTTGAATATGCTAGGCGCTGTTGTGTCAACTCCGCACCTAGCAATGAAGTTCCCTTCTGACAAGGGGAAAATCATCACCATCCACGCCGACCAAAAAGCTGCTCGGGAATGTTATTTTGCTAGCTTGCAAGTAGCTCCAATAGAAAGAAAATCAAAGTCCAAAAGGGTTCATGTTGTCAACTCTTCGGCATCAGTTGAAGAACCAGTTTGGGATCTTGACCCAAGAATGAATGATGAGGAACGTGTAGAGCCGGTAGAGTCAAAAAGAGAGCTACAGATCGGCTCGAATTCGGCTCAAGTCACATACATCGGTGCCGACACATCTGAAGAAGATTGTTCTATCTTGCGCCGGGCGTTAATGAAAAACAAAGACCTTTTTGCATGGACACCTTCTGACATGCCTGGCATAGACCCCAATATCATGTGTCATAAATTATCAATTTGTGCCGAAGCGAGACCGGTTGCCCAGCGTAAAAGGAAAATGGGAACCGAACGGAAGCAAGCAGTGGAAGCAGAGGTGACCAAGTTGCTAGCAGCGGGATTCATTCGGGAAGTTCACTACACCACTTGGCTAGCAAATGTGGTAATGGTGAAAAAGCCGAACGGAAAATGGAGAATGTGTACTGATTACACTAATCTCAATAAAGCATGTCCCAAGGATGCTTACCCACTCCCGAACATAGATCGGTTAGTTGACGGTGCCTCCGGCCACAGAATCCTCACCTTTCTCGATGCTTATTCGGGGTACAATCAAATCCCCATGCATCCCCGCGACGAAGAAAAAACAGCTTTCATAACTGATTCGGCCAATTATTGCTATCAGGTCATGCCCTTCGGGTTAAAAAATGCAGGTGCAACTTATCAGAGATTGATGAATAAAGTCTTCCGGCACCAAATCGGTCGAAGCATGGAGGTGTATGTTGACGACATGGTTGTTAAATCCCACGACATTGCCCGCCATGTAGTTGATCTTGCTGAAGTATTCCAACAATTGCGCCGGTATGACATGCGTTTGAACCCTGAAAAGTGCGTGTTTGGGGTATCAAGTGGAAAATTCCTCGGGTTTATGTTGTCGGCAAGGGGCATAGAAGCCAACCCTGATAAATGCATGGCAATCGTCAACATGGTAAGTCCCAAGAACCTTAAGGAAGTCCAGAAGTTAGCAGGACGCCTTACTGCGCTATCAAGATTCATCCCCTGTTTGGCCGAAGTAGCCAAACCCATTGTAGGATTGTTGAAGAAGATCAAGAAGTTCGAATGGTCTGAGAATTGTGAGGAGGCTTTCAAGACTTTGAAGGAGCGCCTCGGCTCGCCACCCATTCTTTCCAAGCCCGATCCCGCAATACAAATTGTGGTTTATTTGTGCGTATCAAACGACGTAATCAGCGCCGTTCTGATTCAGGAAAAGGAGGAGCAATAACCTATCTACTTCGTCAGCCGAATGTTACAGGAGGCCGAGACTAGGTATCAGCTTCTGGAGAAGATGGCGCTTGGGCTCATTCATA